AGAATAAAGAGTAACAAGTTATTATATATGTATGTCAAAATTGATGCATTTTTTTTTTTGGAAAAACAAATGTGAGTGGGAATATGCCTATCAAATAACATTATATAAAAATTAATTTTCTTGGAATTAATTTTATTCTAAAAGGATTATATTTTCATTAATATAAATTCATTAACATTAATATAAATAATTAAATTTTCATTAATTAATAAATTAATTTGCAAATTCTACAAAAAAAAAAACAACAGTGGTGAATCAACGTATTTCTTATTTTGCAGATGTACCGCAGATAATTTCCGTTTAGTATTTGTATTGGAAAATTGTTTAAATTTTTTTAGCTAATGCTTCTTCCTATTCCTTTGTGTATAGTAGGTATATAGGAGGACGGACAGGTCGCGGCGTTAGTGCAAAATATAAAAAAAAAAAATATTTTTAAAAGTAATAATATTTTTTTGTTTGCCTAATAAAGTTTGCAGCTAAGAAAAATAAAATTGTCAACTCAACATGGTACTAATGTATTTCTGATAGTGGTCTCTAACACACTGACAATAGTACTATTTTTTCTTGACACACTATTCCTAAAATACATACATAGTTACTTTTTTAGTAAACCGCCAATGTAAGTTAATGTTAAGTTAGTACTACTTTTATTATTATAAAATGAGTGTATGTCAATATTGTATAATGTGTATATTTTTCAAAGCTAATTTGATGTTTAGTAATTGGGTATTTTCAATAAGTCTATGTAATTTAATATTATTAGATAATTTATTTCATTTTCCTTTCCTTTTGTAAATAAATTAATAAATTTTGCCTTTTTTGGTTTTAATATTTTGTTTTTGTTTCATGTAATTTTCATGTTATTTAAACATTGTAGCGCATAACATATTTTTATTAAGTTATGCCTTTTTTCAAATTTCATTTGAAGTTTCTTTATGTTGTTATACATTTATATTTATACAGTCGAACCTGATTAATTACACGCAAATAAGCAAAAATACAAGCATATCATATTTGCTCACATGTATTTTTTCTAACGCTTCATACTATCCCTTTTTTAATAATGCTTTATAGGATTTTTGGCAGTTTTGTCATTGATTCTTAAAAAAATTATTAAAAAAAAGTTTATATTGCATATGTATGTATAATACATCCTCAATCAAAAATATTCTTATCACAACTATTTTTATAAAATATTTGAAACATGTATTCATATATGAATAAATGTACACAAATAAATTGAATTATTGGACAACACGGTTGTAAGAAAAATCTTATACCCAAAATTTTTTCCAAAAGGGTGCGCGTATATGTGTGTTCGACTGTATAGTTTCCAGAATACGTAATGGTATTTTTCTTTAACAAAAATTATGGAAAGTTAAAAAAAAAAGTTGGCATGATTTAAATGCAGTCCGTTTCGGCAGTTTTGTTCGGTTTTCAATTATATGAAATTGAGATTGTATATTTGGGAAAGACTTAATCTTAATAAAATCAAAAAATTTAAAACAAGAACACTTTGCTGCAACTGATTTTACTGTTTTCTGGAGTTATTAGAATTTAAGGATATTTTTGGAAATGTAGTAAACGTACTAGCATTTATGACGTGTCACATTGAGTTGTAAAATATGTTAAATCTCATTGTTTGTAAATCTTAAGTTAATTTGTATATTTAAAGATGCATTTCTAATAATGAATCATTCAATTAATCTCTACATATTTATGAAACAATAACATTTATTTTCTTATTATTATTTGTAGCTGCAGTTTTCAAAACTTTTTCGATCTCAATTCTGTATTTTTAAAAAGTTTAAGTAGTTCCTGTAGAAAACACTACAAAACTGTAATCGTACAACTAACTCAATTTGTACACATTCTAATTAGTTAGAACCACCTACTAACTTTTACCCATATTCTATTAGTCGCATCATTTGACATGATTGGTTGTTCTTGGAAAAACTTCTAATTTTCTGGTTGAAAATTAGAAGTTAAACAGAAAAACGAAATTCTTTTCAATAATACCTTATCACATCAGGTGATGTGACTAACAGAATATGGGTGTTTATTTATATATGGTAAAATTTCCAACTAATCATATTCAAATATTTTATTGGTAGAATAGAGAAGATTACTAAGTGGAAAATTAAATTAAATAATAAATTTTTTCTAATGTTACAATAATTGTTCGATAAATAGAGAAGTTCGTTAAATAGATTTCTTTTCTTGAAATTTTTCTGTAATACATCAGTATTCTCAACTGTACAAATTGAAATGCTAGAAATTCTTAAATGATCTGAAAACTAAATTTTAACGAAGAATTTCTCTATAATATTTTAGTTGTACATAAAATGTGGGGGTAAGGGAATACTATTGTAATCATATACTTTGACGAAACAGTAAAAAGAATAAAATAATAATTTCGAATATGAAACTAAAAGTGCTCAGACAGAAATGCGATTTTTAATTTTACAACTGTTTGATTCCTTATTTGTATTCCATAGGTTTATATAATCAAGAACTTGTAATTGCAATTGTATGATTGAATTAAATTAAGCAATCAAATAGTTTGTATTTTTTTTTTTTACAAATGTTGTATGTGCACAACAATTTTACTAATTAAGCCCTATGTAATTGAGTTTAATTTAATATAGAAGAGAATTTATTACACAAACACACATTTTTTCAAGTTCAAATTTAAGTCGATTCCGTGATTTCAATTTTTTGATATTTCAAATTAAAATACGCATTGTACATAAATCTTGGAAAAAAAAAAGAAAAATACCATTAAATTTTAATAAATTTTATTGTTATTTTATTCGTAATTATATTTGTTATACTGTTCATTTTATTAATATATATATAAATAATAATATGTTACATAATGATATTGTATAGAAGAGCTTAATATTTAAAAAAAAAAAAAAAAAATACTGTTAAAAAGCAGTATTTAATTGCAATTGCAAAATAAATGAAAATTACATATGTGTATAATTAAATACCATTTGTATTTATGTAATAATATATTTTACTACAATGCATAATTTTATATACGTGTGTTATAATGTATATGTACATATATATAAATAATATATAGAACATTCCTTTTAACAAATTGTCACTGTGTGCGTTACCAATTAACACAAGTTTCTATTTTTTTGTCTTTTTAATAAATTTTAAATAACATTTTCACAAATATGTTTTTTTTTTTTTTAATTTTAATTAATTTTTTTTTATTGAATTTTATTTTTTCTTTTCTATATAAATTAAAAATACAAATTGATTTTTTTCAGCAAATATTTTTATCTTTATTTTTTTCTTTTTAATTTTTTTTTTATATAATAATATGATTTATCAAATATGCTGTCATTTTAGACAAATTTTCTTAAATATTTTATTTTCATTTTTTATTACAATTAAATTTATGCTTATAAATTTATAATAATTTTAATTTCATTTAAAAATTTTTAAAATTCTTCGTAATCGTTTCGCATGTATATGTACATACATTCATAATTTTTTTTTTTTTTTTCGAAAATTAATTTGAATTTTAAACAAGTTTTTTATTTTTTGATTTACATAGTAAAGAACTCTTTTTTTATATTTATTTAATTGTTTTTTATTTTCTAAAGTTCTAAGACCTTATCTAAAAGGTATATAATAATTTTCTAATTACAAAAACTTTTTTTTCATTTATAAATAAAATATTTTTTAAAGTATAAACCAAAAATACAATTTGACCACAGATAATTTTAGTAGTTTTTTATAATTTTTTTTTTGTTCATGCTAAAAAAATTTAGAATTGTTAATGGTTTTGTTTTTTTTTTTTGTTTTTTAAATACATTGTAACAGAGTTTTTATTTTATATTTCTATATATATATATATAAAAGTTTTATAATGTGATCATTTTTCTGAATTTCAATTTAGAATTAATTAAATATTTTTAAATGAAAAGTATTTAGGCATTGAGTAGAGATATGGTGAATTCTTAAACGTCAAATTTTACAAAATCTGAGTTGTCTGAGTTTACGGATACTCTACTACGTTTTTACTCTCAGTCAAAGTTTAAATTCTTAAACGTTTAAAAAAAGTCAATTAAGCGTCAAAATTGTAGATTTTTTTTTTTACATGCAAACAGTCTGACGTAGTAATTCAGTAAATAAATTTGATGTATTGAGTGACTATCATTACGTTAAAAATAATATAAAAAATACTTTTTTTATTAATTTTTAATATGTAAGTATAAAATTATTTTAAATCTAAAATTTTTTTTTTTGTTTTGACGTTTACGGATGATCAAAATTCAAAGTCAATTACGAGTAAAAAGTTTACTACATTTCTGTCTGTAAAAGTTTTAGTTTCAGACAGTTTGCAGACTAAAATCAAAATTTTGACGTTAAAGAATTTGCGGATATAGTGACAATAGTTAAATTTTTATTTAGTATTTTTATAAACGCATAATTTTTCAATATTTTAAAATTTAAAGTATGAAATTTATAACTTTTAGAATAATAAATAAAAGGGATACCGTATTCACACTATATAAATGAATAAAATGTTATTCTCAAAAGACGAAAATTATCTGAAAAAAAAAAAATTATTCCTTTTAAAAAAATTATTCAATTTAGTCCATCAACACAAGTTTCTAACGCGTTTAATCTTTAGTGTACCTTAAAAAAAACCATTTTAAAGTATAAATTTAAATAAAGTTTATATAAACTTTGAATGTGAGTGTTAAAGGGTTTAAATTGGATAGTGGAAGCGCAGTATTAGAGTCATTAATTTAGGTAATTTCAGTTGAATAGTGGATTTGCAGCTTTAGCTAATATTACATTTAAAAAAAATTTAAAATAAGTTTTCAGATAACATTAAAAATTTTTTCCAATTTTTGGGTGAATACCAACGGTTTGGTTACCTTGAAAATATGCATTTTTCAGAAAAACATGTTGGGATTTTTGTTTTTGAATTTTTTTTTTGTCAAATTAAAGGAGTTTTTAAGGATTCGTTTTTTTTTGGTTTTAGCAATTTAATTTCAAAAAATTTAAGTTGACAACACAGTAACTTTTATTATTTTTTAAAAGAATAATTTTAATAAATTATAAGAATAAAATGTTAGCTGGAAATATGTCAATGCAATGTGAATCTGATAACATATAATCGGGTTCTATAACTTGTTAATATCATATTTATTAGTATAGAAGTAATAATGTGAATAGGGTTTAATTTAATTTTTATAATTCAAAAGAACAATTTTACTAATTCAGCACTGATTTTGTAACACTAGCTTTGTAAAAATTTTTTTTAATGCTTGTGTGCCTTATGTTAACTAGGCAGTGGATCAAATCAAATTATTTTGATTTTAATGACAGTATATGGTTATACAAACTATATAATTTAAAGTATTTATAATTGTCATTTATAATATTTGACATTTAAATTTTTAATTAATTCTATTTTGAAATTTCTTTTAATTAAAATTGTATATAAATAAATAAATTCCAATGTATATATGTATTAATTAATTTTATTATTTTTTTTCTTTCATTTTAAATTTTGTATAAGACTTTCATTTTATTTGATGAATAATTTTTTGAAAAAGAAAATGGTTAATTTTTATTTGTTTCATAATTAACGAACAATTTTGTTTTTTTTTTATTGTATGTAGTATTTTATGTATTTTATATATACATTTTATTTTTTTATTTCTACATAATAAATGTGTAATTTTAATGTTTTAATAACAAAATTTTTGTTTTTTTTTTCTCTATATAATTGAAACTTTTTTATAATATTATAATTTAGTATTTCTTTTTGCATCGCTTAGTTGTGAAAATTTTCTAAAATCTACAAGAACTTTTATATATATATATAAATTTTATTATTTTTAAATTTGAAATTATTTTCTGTTTTTTTAAGCGTTATAAATATATTTATATGCATAATACATAGGTATATAATATATGTATGTATATGACAATTAGTATATAGTTACAGACACTTTTTATTTATCTGAATTTTTAATATTAGTAATTGGTTTTTTTTTTGTATGTTTTTTTTTTTTTTTAATTTTCAGTTTATGTAATTATCACCTTATGGTAATGCCCTAACTCCATCTAATGATGAACGTAGTATTAGTGCACCTTCTACCCAAAAATTTGGTCGATTTAACATATTTTGCCATAGAGAGAGCTCTTTACCAGTTGCATCCATCCAATCAACAATTTTACCATAATGTTTACCTATTAAATAAATAAATATGTAAGTATAAATTTGCAATATTTTTTTTTTAAATATTTTAATTTGAATTTAAAAAAACAAAAATATTGAAAAAAATTTTCATTTTTATTTTAAATTGATTTCTCCAAATGAAATTCAAAATTATAAATCATATGTTTTTTTTTTCGAAATTAAAGTTTTTCTATGCTCGTATGTCCACTATTATTCTGTTAATGTTTTTGACAACTTTTTCGTAAAATTTTTCACGAATTATGTGTACCTTTAAATAGCGCTGAATGAAATTTATTAAATTTAAAATTTTAATATTTTTTAATGTAATTTTATGTAAAATATTATTTGTTCCTTCGAAAGGGTCCCTTCAAGAAGTTTTTCTTTTGAAATTTTTTACTACTTTAATTTTTATTAGCTCAACGAAAATTACAACGAAATAACAAAATTTTTCAGCCAAATTGTATTTTAGAAAATAATTAAGGACTAATTTTATATTTTTAAAGATTTCAGTTATTAAAGTTTTATAGCTTAATTTTCTCCGTGAAGGATCAATCTTAAGGGTATATCAGTTCTTTGCAACAATATTTTCAATAGGGATCAATTTTTATGGGACAACATATAAATAAGGTATTTCTGTTAGTTAATAACTATTTTAACGAATTATTTTGAGCAATTATTTTGTTAATCTTATAGTAAGAAGAAGGTTTATAGGAATATTTTAATAAAGTATTCGAGAAATAGATGATTCATGTTAGATTTTTTTTGATGTATAGTTTCAAAATAATTTAAAGTACTTGTTATTTAAAAATTTGTTATTTGAAACTAAAATACATAAAATTCTTTTAAAAATTGAACGTGAAATTTCAACTGTTATAGAATTATAGATAAAATAAAAAATTAATTAAATTATGAATATCTTAAATTAATTAATTTAAAGGGAAAAGAAAATATTATGATTTTCATCAGGTTTGTAATTATTTTTGGAATCTATGAATACGAAAATTTTTTGTATATAATTGAATGAATATATCCAAATATATTGTTTTGACAAAATAATTTAATTATTATATTCATAGAGGGGTGAATTTATAATTGAAAAGAATTTCTTAGAAATTTTTGTTTATATTTATTAGAATTGTAGACATATCTGTACATAAATTGTGTGACATAGATGTAAATATATATAAAAATAAGGGTGAATTTTCAAACATGTAGGGGCTTTAATATAATCCATTGTACAATTAAGTAATGTACAATATATTTTAGTTATTAAGGGAAAGATAACTCTTTTTGCAAATGTGAAATCTAGTACTCCGTAGTACTACGAAAAGAAGATTTCTTTTTTAAGGATATTTTACATACACAAGTATAAAATAGTTCTTTTGTGTTATTACAATAGTGCCATTTTCATAACGATTTGAGTATTCATGATATCCTTGAAAAAAATTTTTGAATAGGTTAAAAATCTTAGTTTTTGATTATTTAAGAAACTCTCGTTTGACTGAAGATTATTTTTCTCCCCGATTTATATTTTACATAATAAATTACGGCAATCTTCATAGTCAACCAATTAAGGCGATATTATTGTTTGAATTTTTTTAAAAACATTTCTTATTTTTTTTGAATTGTTGAGTTAAAATTTGTTTAATAAATTCTGTAGGAGCTCATGAATCACATTTTAATTTGATTATATTCTAAGAATCAAATGTGTAGAAACTTATATATACAAGTATGTATGTATACGAAATAAAGTATAGTAAGTGAAAGAAATTTTTCATTACTAAATTTTCAATTTGGATTTACCCTAACTTGTTTCTTAGTGATTTGCTAGTAACTTTAAATATATGAAAATTTTGCAATTTATCAATTTTAAAATGTGATTATTATTCTTAACAATAGTTTTTAAATTATTTTTTTTAACAAATTTATGTATATGCACCTGTTCCTAATGAGAATCTTACACCGCCTAAAAATTCATTGCTAGCCAATCTATCATGATCCCATATTGTTAATTCTAATGCTCTTTCAGCGAGTTCCTGTAATGAAACATCTTCATATACAAAAGTATAATTCCATACAGGGTTATTAGTTCGTTTCGCTACTTGTGTTTTTTGTTTTGAGCTTCTTGTCCTATCTGGTAGTAAATAACTAAAAATTAAAACAAAAAAATATTATTAGTTTTGTAATTTTTAAAACAATTTTATATACACATTATATTCATTTGTGTTCATACCTCTTACAGAACGCATCACATACTCCATTTGGTTTTATTGCAGTTAAATTTTTCGCTTCCTTAACTAAAACATGTAATTGGCCTTTTGTTGAAAAATTCTTTGAATTTCCTTTCATACTTCCAAATTTTTTAAGATTTGAATTACTGCCACGTGTTAAACTATTTTTAGAATTTGCATTTTCAGGCGGAACAAATTTAAGTCCTACTATAATATCACCACGATATACTGATATGTCATCGAAAGGTTCACTCTAAAAAAAAAATTGTGTATAAAATAAAAATATGAGATTTATAGAAAGTTTTTTTTTAATACGTATTTTAAAATTTTTGTTGAAAATTTGTAAAAAATTTAGAACAGGTTGTGGGAAAATCTTAATGTTAAAAAAAATTCAATAATTTCAAAAACAATTCGATACAATTTTATACAATTATACGAAAATGAATAAAATTGTTGACCTTTTACTCAAAAAGAAAAATAAAATTATTTACCCTTTCTTGTAAAAGATACCATTGTGGATGTGGATTATCAAAAAGACGTCCAGCTAAATTGATTGTCACTTCACCTAAGAAATCATTACGTCCGAACATATCGGAATGCCATACTGTTAACCATAATTGTCTTGATTCTAAACTGCTCAATGGTAAATGAAAACGTAAAACTTCATCAAAAATTGGATTGAGTGTATGCTTTTTAACTTTTGTTTTACGTTTCCCTCCTTTTGATTTGTCTGGCAATAAATAAACCTAAAATTTAAATATATTATATACTCGTATAGCTTTTAGTAAAAATTTTTTATTCAAAAATATGTATTAGGGCCAATTATAAATTTCTCTTTGCACTAATTCGAAATATTTCAATTTAGTTAATTACGATCAAAAATTCATAAATGAAATTTTTAATTTTATGCAAATATATGTTATAAGTATATTAAATTAATCTATAAAATGTTCTGATATATTAAATATAGTCTCGAAATATTTTTACCTTAACATAAGGATCACTTCTATTACGTTTAGCGTCAACAGCTGCTAAATCTTTACAACGAACTACATGAATTTCCAAAGCACTTTGTTTATAATTATATTGCATTCCGAATTCAACTTGTCCTTTTACAACAACTGTACCATAACGACCATCACCAGCTCCGGAATAAACACTTGCCATAGAATCTGACCTCAGCTAAAAATATTTAAACAAATTCGAAATGTATTTATATTAGAAATTGAATAAACTAAGTATTAGTTTTGTCGAAGGTGTCGAGAATATAGGGACAATAATATTTGAATTTATTTCGTTCCTGTGTCGTGTCGTTTTCCTTCAATTAGTAAAGTTTTATGTATGAAAATGTGTGCATCATTACGAGTATGTCTGTTTGGTATAAAACTTCAATAAACTTTAATTTCAATAAACTTAAGTAAAAGGCATATAGAAGAATATAATATACTTCTAAATTACTTTTAGCAACTACATAAATAAGCAGTCGGAAAATCAAGAATATTTGAATAAAAATTTGCTTTTAATGCAAATTTCAATTCAAATTAAAACTACAATTTATATAAAATATTTTTGAATTCATAATATACGGTCCGATTTGCTCTTTTAACATGTTAAGTCAGATTATTGTTGAAAGTAAAGTTTTCTACCTCTTTCCAATATAAAAGACCGATCAAATGACAGACGATATTAATTTTTCTGTTTCAAAAATATTTACAGAAGCTTTTTTGGTTGGAGGGTAATTTGGGTATATTAGTCATTTTAGAATTCTTAGAAAATGTCAAAATATAATTTCATTAAAAATTTTTTTTTTTGTTTGCACTGGTCCACTGAGGTAAATTTTGGTAATTTAATGTAAAAGATATTTCATATAATACAAAGATCTATTTGTTAGTATAAATATACACTTGCGTATATACATATATAATACACGAAATTTTATATAAATAAATTGTTTTTTATTAAATTATTCAAATTATTACGAAATTGGAATTTTTTAAATGAGCAAAATGAGCAGGGTGATTCGAAAATAAAAAAACCGTTTCTAAAAATTTGAACAGCTTTTAGAATTACTATTTTGATCAAAAATTAATAATAATTGATAATTATAGCACTTAAAATCAATAAAAATTAAAAATATTTTTGATTATTACATTTTATTAGGGTTTTTAAAATTTTGATTTTGAAATGTTTTATGTGCTATATCCTCTGTACCATAACAGACTTTTTACCGTTTAATCTTAAATCAAAACTTAGGCAGATGGGTAAAACAATCGTGTTAGAGAAAACTAAAAAAAATAAAAAAATGGAAAAATTTCATTATTTATAAAGTACGAATACTGGTGTTTCCCTTTACGTTTCGAATGCTTGTGTTGTAAGCCCTTTACGAGTCTTTTCAGAAATTGTTTGTTTGAGAGCCAATAACAAACAGAAATTTCGTTAAAACTTGTTAAAATATTTCGGAAACCCTTCAGACATGACACCTAGTCCGGAACAAAAGTTTTACCAATTTTTGATCTTTGAACCAATGGTATATGATGTTCTATACCTTTCTGACTCATCCTGTATAAGTTGTAAATTAAAAGGCATGGTTTTGGTTTGCAATAGCTAAAAAAAGAAACTACGTCTCTATCTGTATAATTTTTAGGAAAATATTTCACTACATTTTGATGTTTGTATTTTATTTAATAAAATCTTAAAGTTTTACTTTACATTTGAGATAGGCAGTATTTTTTCAAATCAATCTTTCTTCTTTTTTAAAATTAAAAAGATTATTGTGTTATCCCAATGCAAAATTGTTCATTTCTTTATACTTTTATACATGTATGTATGTAGAAATAAAATAAAGATAATGAAAATTTAAAAAATAATTTACGAAACCAAAAAATGGGAATCTAATATCCGGTTCATGTCCTTTTTGTTTTTCTTTAAAAAAAGTTTTTAACATCAACCTAATATTAATAAAATATTTTTCTATTTTCGTTTTATGAAAAAATTTTAAAAAATTTTATATATTTTGTAGTTTTGTTCCCATAAATTGGGAATAGGGCAGTACGTTAGCTACTATACACTATAAAAATTTTTTATATTCTATTTATATTATAATTTTTACAATAACTTACCCCTAATGAACTTAAACTATTGCGATTTTGATGTAAAGCAACTAAACGATCAATATCTTCATCTGATTGAGATGGCCATGGATCACTAGAAGCAGAACCTGGAGTTGCTACTGGACTAGCATTCGTACTAGTTTTACTTTTTGCTCCTATTATTGGTGAATTACTAATATCAACATTAGATTTTGTTGCAGCTTCTTCTAAAAATAAAAAAAAAAAACAATTAAAATTTGATTAATGAAGAGTAATATTAATTTTTATTTTTATTAATATTTATGTACATACATACATATTGTATAATATAAGTTACAGAAACTATAATATTTGTTTAGGAGAATAAATGTCATTTTAATAATATGAGTAGCAATTCTTATGATATGAGTAGCAAATTATGAATTATAATTTAACGTTATTCCTAATATTTATATGTACATATACACATATGCTTATAATGTAATTGTATAATACATATTTATAGCATTTCAAAATACTAAAAATTTAAAATTTTAAAACTGAAAAAAATTAGATGTCATATTTATTGCTTATTTTCTGGCTTTTTCTTGGAGCCTACTGCAAAACCCATGTCTCTAGCCCTTCTTGAAGTGCCTTCACTTTTTGACACTTGAGAAGTATATTTATATAATATATAATGTAAAATTGGATGATTTTTGAAGCCTGGTGGGTAACGTTGTAGTCTGATAACCAGAAGCTATAAAATAAGGGAGGCATTGCGATGGCATCAAATTTCGGATTTCTTTTTAGAAAATTCAGTTAGCAAAAAGTGAAACACTACTAGGAGTCGACTTTACATTTTGCCAGGTATCATAACTAAAAGCGTCTTTAAAATTGTAAAGAAGTTGAGGCTGTAGATTAGACACTATATACATTGCCGTTACTTATGTGCTGACCACATCACATTTTTCTTTATATTTATTTACGTATTTCTACATTAATAAATCTGCATTTTCGCATAAAACATTGTTCCATCAAACAAAATTCACGGAGGCTCCTGTCTTCTGTCCGTATTTTAACAATATGAAATTGAACACTTGTCTTCAAAGTTTTCGCGTTAACGATGTGAAAGATGACACTTTGCTAAAGTTAACCTGGTTTTTATAATATGGACGTCACTAATTGTCACAGTAATTTGTTCTTCAATTGACCGAAAATTTATCATTAGTTTTTAAGCCAAAAATTTGGCAAGAATGACAGTTGTATTAGGATGCATGACAGTAATTTCAACTTCGAAATCGAAAGTTAACAATTTAAGAAATCATAGAAATAACATTTATTGAGCAGTTAAAATATTATTATTAAACAGTTATACAATAAAAAAACTTTATTGCACGCGAAGCAATCGGAAAATATTAGATTGTGCTTTTAGGCATGAGGTTATTCTTCCAATATTTCCTGCGATATATTTCTATTATAGAATAATCTTTTCAGAAAAATTACATTTACAAATTTTCATAAGTTTTTAGGCGATCAAAATTACAATGGCATGTATAGTTAACAAAAAAATGCCCTATATGGACTTATTTTTTTTTTACAAATAAATAAATATTATTCAGCTGCAAGCTACAATATAAAATCAATAAAAACCGTATGCAATGGTATTACATATGTATTTTTATGTAACTAAAATACAATTTTCTTTCTAATACCATGCACAAATTATTGATCAAGTACATTTATGAATTTGAAACGTCATTATGAATTTGATTTAAAAAAAAAAATTTACATTGGTCATTTCAAAATAGAAAAGAGAAAAAAACGAAAGCAAATCCAATTAACTACTTATAGACACCCTAGTAACTACGTACATCAACAAATACAATGTAATTTCATATTCATAATAAATATCAGTTGTACTTTTTAAATTGCATGAAATATTGGTTATAAGAGCTTTCAATCCATTTGTACAAAAACCAAAATCTGATGTGAACAGCATATACACATAACTAAATTAAAAAATCCCTTATAATTTTTATATTATTATGGTTGGAGGGTAAGAGTTCAAAAAGATTTTGAAAATGCTCCCTGAAAAATTTTTTGCTAATTTTGTTGGAACTAAAATATTAAATTTTATAAAATTATGTTGATCAATTGCATTGATATGATGGTGATAAATATAAAATTTGATTTGATTTTCAACCCCTAATGTTTCCAAAAAAAATTGGCTAGTCCATTGTTTTATCAACCACAATTAAAATATTAAATTAAAACTGTTGATTATTTCTCTAAATAAAGGCAAAAATATAAATCCGTTTGAATTTAAGCCATCACATTATGGCCACGTAGAAAAAGCCATCACATTATGGCCATTAACGGCTGGTCTATGAGTCCCAGTAGACTGACAGAATGCTATTACACAATCTCTCTTATTGTATGGAAAATGGTCGGTAAAAAGTATTAACAGTACCTGAAAATAATATATTAACGAAAGCATTATACAGATTTTTTAAAATTTATTGTAAAATAAAAGTCAAATTTAACAGCAGGGTTTGTGTTCCTATATACGGCGTGTAGAAAATTGTATTATTACGTATAATTTGAAACGAAAAATATGTAGAATTTAAGAAGAATTTATGGTCTTTTTATAGATTGGTGCTAGAAATTGAAATATCTCAGTGAAGTTACGTAGTTGAAAGTAGAATATATGATATATTAATTTAATTATAGGCTGTATTTTGTGAAAAATGTCAAAATGGCCCACATACGTATAATATCATAAAAATATTTGTAATGAAAAATTTACATTGTATGTATACAATCAAAATTTTTTATTAAATTTTAACATAAACGATCTTCATCTTTTGAATATTCAATTTCTATTGATTGTTTCCTTATTGTATAATCCATTTTGAATATATAAAGAACAAAGGTTCACGAAGTGTCTTACATTAAAATAAACGCTGAAAAACAATAACAAAAATTAAATACGCGAAAAAAATCATCGTCACCCTCTTTTACCTTTGTTCTATGCTTAATTGCATGTCAAAATACAAAAAAACAAGTGAATCCTTTCATATTTTCTTTTTTATTTAATTTCCATTAGTTTTCACTTCGAACATTTTTTCGACACATACATGCATATACATATGCATACATGTGTGTGCATTCTTTGTTTGATATTAACACAGAAGTATTATTTTAATGATAGTAAGCAAACGAATATTGTAAAAAGGTTAATATTTAATTGCATCTACACTGAATATATAGTTAATGTTGCGATTTCCGCTTAAAGAAATTTTAAGATTTTTAAGTATATAAATTGAAATCGATATTAAATAATAAAAATCTGATGTGGTCAGCACTAAACCGACTGCAAGGTGTATTGTCTAATTTGTCGTAATAGATAAATTGCATATGATTGTGAAAATGCTTTTTAAATACTTTTTTCAAATTTTAAGGACACTATAGTCAGCTTTTGGTTAACGTACCCAGAAAAATGTGAATTCGCAACTTAGCGAAATTTAGTATAGTTTCGCTTTATGCTGTCCGAATTCCCTGAAATGATTGTCAGTAATTTTTGGTAGCCAGCTGAATTTAAAAAATAAATTTCAACAAATTCCGTCAATTAATTTCTTAGATATGCTAAAAAATGTAAAAATGTTTATTTACGGTTCCCCACCATGGAGAAACATGTTTCGGCCGAAAATTCGATATGCTAAATTTGGTGTGATCACATCACTTTCCTTATTGTATGCGATGCGGTCGGTAAAAATTTGTATTAGTATTATTTCTAAATGATATTAGTCAATTAAATATAAATATTAAATAAATATTTTATTTGTTTAATAAAGCTTTAAAGCTTCATACGTCATATTTCTTTAAAAGAATATTTTGATTTTATAGAAATGAAATAATTGTGTAGAAATATATGATTATATACAAGTATAGTGTATATGTAAAAAAAAAGTAAATAATCATTAATATCCGGCATTTAAGTGAAATTAATTTTAAAATTTTAATTGATAGTCAGTGATTTCATATTTTTATTTTGCTACATCGTGGAGTACAAGCAACTTTTAGGTTTTTTACTTTTAAATAAACTTTAAACTCATTATTTCTACGTGAGATGTTTAAACGCTCTACACCATTGCACTTGAAAAGATTTAAAAATTTTAATTCGAATTTATTAAAAATTTTAAAACCTTTTTCAAATTCGGTTCTTACCGACCACGTTGAATACAATACGGGAGATCATGTGGATGGCACCAAATTTCGAATGTCAAGTTTTGCTTGAGAGAGCACATTCTCCATAGCAGGGAAGTGTAAATAAACTATTTTTAAAGAGATATCGGTCTGTAAATTTGTCGGATTGTCTGCCTGCCAGCGTGTGAACTCGCGTATTTAAAGTTCAGGAAAACCGAATTTGAGGAAATTTTATATATCAGTTTTTTTCTGCTATTTCATGAATTGATTAACTTTTGCGATATATCACGTCTCGGTAACTGGATTTTTTTGCGACCAAATTTTAAATTTTTCTATATATAAAGAGAAATTATCAACCAATTTTCCTGAAATTTAATATTAAAATTCGGCCTGCATTTTTCGATTTTAGATTTTTTGCCATACCTACGGAACGGATTGATGGAATTTTTTGAAATTTAATATTTGAGTTCTGGTTGTTAACGAAATTAACTGGAGAACTTTTCAGGGAATTAGATGAGGAATGTTAATTTAAAGCTGACTAGTACCTTTAAAATTGTGAAAAAAGTGTTTTTAAAGCACATTTAAATAATCTTCTGTAAAACTTTCACTATAAACCAGATAATATAAATTGGGTTCAGTTTTGTGCTGGTCACATCAGATTTTTTTATTCTTAATATTATGATTAATACATTTGATTTCGCTTACATATTGTAACACTATTCTTAATCTAAAAATCAGCTTTGTAAAGAATGACATTCTTTTAAGGAAATTCCTTTCATAATGAATTTTAATCTATAGTTTTCAACCTTAATTCAAGAGAAAACTGATTGTGTAAGGGTGAAAATCTCAGAAAATCGTACATAATTATTTGTTCCTTCTTCTGCACTATTTTAATCTGCATATCAGCATAAATTTTGTTTTACAAGTAGATGAGGGTGAAAAAAAAGGATAATATAAAAAAAATAGAATAAATAAGGTTAAAAAAGAAAATGAAAGAGAATAATAAATTCACACTTTTTTTTTTCTTCTATTACTTTGT